GGATGACCAGAGACTGCGGACACAGTACAGGGGATGACCAGAGACTGCGGACACAGTACAGGGGATGACCAGAGACTGCGGACACAGTACAGGGAATGACCAGAGACTGCGGACACAGTACAGGAGATGACCAGAGACTGCGGACACAGTACAGGGATGACCAGAGACTGCGGACACAGTACAGGAGATGACCAGAGACTGCGGACACAGTACAGGAGATGACCAGAGACTGCAGACAGTACAGGGATGACCAGAGACTGCGGACACAGTACAGGGATGACCAGAGACTGCAGACACAGTACAGGGATGACCAGAGACTGCGGACACAGTACAGGGATGACCAGAGACTGCAGACACAGTACAGGGATGACCAGAGACTGCGGACAGCACAGGGATGACCAGAGACTGCGGACACAGTACAGGAGATGACCAGAGACTGCGGACACAGTACAGGGATGACCAGAGACTGCGGACACAGTACAGGGACACAGTACAGGATGACCAGAGACTGCGGACACAGTACAGGGAATGACCAGAGACTGCGGACACAGTACAGGGAATGACCAGAGACTGCGGACACAGTACAGGAGATGACCAGAGACTGCGGACACAGTACAGGAGATGACCAGAGACTGCGGACACAGTACAGGAGATGACCAGAGACTGCGGACACAGTACAGGAGATGACCAGAGACTGCAGACAGTACAGGGATGACCAGAGACTGCAGACAGTACAGGAGATGACCAGAGACTGCAGACACAGTACAGGGATGACCAGAGACTGCAGACACAGTACAGGGATGACCAGAGACTGCAGACACAGTACAGGGATGACCAGAGACTGCAGACACAGTACAGGGATGACCAGAGACTGCAGACACAGTACAGGGATGACCAGAGACTGCAGACACAGTACAGGGATGACCAGAGACTGCAGACACAGTACAGGAGATGACCAGAGACTGCGAACAGTACAGAAGATGACCAGAGACTGCGAACAGTACAGAAGATGACCAGAGACTGCGGACAGTACAGGAGATGACCAGAGACTGCGGACACAGTACAGGGATGACCAGAGACTGCGGACACAGTACAGGGATGACCAGAGACTGCGGACAGTACAGGAGATGACCAGAGACTGCGACACAGTACAGGAGATGACCAGAGACTGCGGACAGTACAGGAGATGACCAGAGACTGCGGACAGTACAGGAGATGACCAGAGACTGCGGACAGTACAGGAGATGACCAGAGACTGCGGACAGTACAGGGATGACCAGAGACTGCGGACAGTACAGGAGATGACCAGAGACTGCGGACAGTACAGGAGATGACCAGAGACTGCGGACAGTACAGGAGATGACCAGAGACTGCGGACAGTACAGGAGATGACCAGAGACTGCGGACAGGACAGGAGATGACCAGAGACTGCGGACAGTACAGGAGATGACCAGAGACTGCGGACAGTACAGGAGATGACCAGAGACTGCGGACAGTACAGGAGATGACCAGAGACTGCGGACAGTACAGGAGATGACCAGAGACTGCGGACAGTACAGGAGATGACCAGAGACTGCGGACAGTACAGGAGATGACCAGAGACTGCGGACAGTACAGGAGATGACCAGAGACTGCGGACAGTACAGGAGATGACCAGAGACTGCGGACAGTACAGGAGATGACCAGAGACTGCGGACACAGTACAGGAGATGACCAGAGACTGCGGACACAGCACAGGAGATGACCAGAGACTGCAGACAGCACAGGGATGACCAGAGACTGCGGACAGCACAGGGATGACCAGAGACTGCGGACAGCACAGGGATGACCAGAGACTGCGGACAGCACAGGGATGACCAGAGACTGCGGACAGCACAGGGATGACCAGAGACTGCGGACAGCACAGGGATGACCAGAGACTGCGGACAGCACAGGGATGACCAGAGACTGCGGACAGCACAGGGATGACCAGAGACTGCGGACAGCACAGGGATGACCAGAGACTGCGGACAGCACAGGGATGACCAGAGACTGCGGACAGCACAGGGATGACTGCTGACCTTTGGGGAGGGAGGGGGAGCGGGTACCTGAATTTGACAGGTACCCGCTCTTACTTCCGCAGAGTTTTTTTTTTTATCTTACCTGTTCCTTTATCCAGCCGCGCGTTGTCTTCCCGGCTTCTGTAGTGTGGGCGGACAGCCGGATGCCCAGTGCGCATGCGCGAGAAGCGCTGCGCTTTGTGATTGGTCCGGCGGCTTCTGGGATCTTTCATGTGTCCCAGGTACCGCCTTACCATTCACAAAGAGCACTGCTTCTTGTGCATGCGCACTTGGGACCCGGCTGTCACGCACACTACAGCCGGGAAGACAGTGCGCCGCTGGATTCTCCTGGCGTGCCCACAGATAAGGCTCGGCGTGCCGGCTGTGGCACGCGTGCCATGGGTTCGCCATCACTGCCCTAGTGAATCATACACAGAATGCACTCTAGGGAAGGAATCAGCCACTTTAAAATTCTCCTTGAAACGTTTTTTAAAATCAGCTTATTTACATATGCAGACCATAGACAAGTCGAAAACCAAACTAAATTCACGTTGATCGTCAAATCGTTTGTTTTTCGCATCATTAGTGTGCCAGTTGCAACATTTTCGTGCTGCAATTGAAAGCGCCTGATCCAACATGCTGGGTTTTTCTTTTAGAATAACAAAACAACTGATAGCACAACAGTATGTTTTCCGATCGACAGAACTTTCAGTTTTCGATGGACCTTAGGCCCATCCTGAACAGGTATGATTATACTTGGTTACTGTACAAAGTGTGTGACCCACCCTTGCTTGGTGTTTGCGTACTTTGGTTATCTGATCAGCTTTGGCTTCCATTCTCCTCACTAGAGCTGCCAATTCATATTCAAGATCCATTTTCAGGCGGTCGGAATGTGCTTTGTGAACCTGCTTCAGCAGCTCCTGATGATCGCTAGGAGAAAAAAAAAAAAAAAGTAAAAACAAATGCCATTTGTGTTCTAGAACAGAGCTGGTTCTTATATGCTACATTTACTCAAAGAATAAAAACAATCCTAATGTAAATAACCAGCAGCACATCAACACTATAAAAATGGACACAGCAAAAAAAAAAAAAAAAAAGACCAAACAACAAAAAAAAAAACACACAATGAAAAAACACAACGAAAAAAATCACACAACGACAAAAAACACACACGCACACACACACTGAGATGAACAGCAGAAACCTAGAAGTGCACATAAAAAAGTGGAACCTGCGGGCAGGTATCAATAATCTTAATGACACCCTGCCCCCACTGGAAATCACACCCGCACTGGGAAGCACACTGTAGTGTGGTTCCCAGTGTGGGCTGCTATTTCTGGAAAGGTGCAGGGACCTTTTCCCTGTCTTTTGTGAGGCACGGCTGCCCTGGGATTCCCTCTCCTCATTAGCTGAGACATAAAAGGAAGCCATTGGCTCTCACTGCTGTCAATAAAAGCCAGTGAGCCAATGAGGAGAGCAAAGGGCAGGGCCAAGCAGTGGCTCTGTCTTATGGAGGTGTAGAGTCAGGCTCGAGAGCGAGCATGCACCAGTGCCCCCATAGCAACCAGATTGCTATTGGGGGCACTGGTCAAGGGGGAGGAGCCAGGAGTGCCAGCGGTGGACTCGAGAAGAAGAGGATCAGGGCTGCTCTGTGCACAACCACTGCACGGAGCAGGTAAGCATGACATTTCATTGTTTAAATCCGAACAAGTGTGTTATATGGGAGTGGTAAAGAGTTAAAAACCCATGTCAAATTTTTATTTCTGTTAGAATCTCTGCTGGGGGAATTCACTATTCTGCAGAGAGTGCGATGAAAAAGGGGAAGCACGTGTTTGAAGCACAAGTTGTTTTTTTTTTTTTTCTCATCACTCACAGCGCACTGAAGCACAAGAAATGTGCCCTCTGGGCTAAATTTGTTTTACACACGGATAATTTAACTGGACATTATTATTGTATATTGTTTATTAATCACTTGCATTTGTGCACACTAACATATCTTTTGGGGGAGGTGCACTATAGTACCATATTTAGGTACGCGTACTCAGGCGGGAGGTAATAGTTATTCACTTCTCATTTTGTAAAGGAGGAACGTGGTTTGATTTCACTTTCATTCTCATTGTGGAATAAGTTGAGGAGGTTTCTGTAGTTCCCGCTTGACTCACTTGGTCCATCTCTAAATACAGGAAGGTGCTCCGTAGGATGGAGGGATTCTCCACAACATTTTATTTTAGCACGCATTATCATATTTCCTCTAATTGACACGTTATGAGAATAGGAAGGGGGGAGGTGTCTTGTAGCAAGGAGTGGATTTCCAATGTCAAAAAAATTTAGATTCATCCCATTGAGCACTTATATCAACTTCCATGGGGGGGGGGGGCATCTTTTTCAAATTTTTTACATGTTATGAGCAGTGCTACACCCTTATGTTTACATTTACTTTACACATTTTAGTTAAAGTATGGTAGGTGTTAGTAGCATCCTACACCACTGCGCAGTATCAATCCATATATTTTTCACATCTATATTGTTACCTTTTTTTTTTCAGTGGACACCATTCCTTTATGTATCAATAGAACAATACCATTCTTTTAAATGCCTAACGAGGCAGGGAGACCATGGATGGGTCTTTATATGTGCCTCCGGGGATTCACACAAAAATTTATAAATAACTCATTTTTTTTTTTTAAATGTCTGCCTGGATTCAGTTGTTAATCAGAAACATCTATAATCCAATCTATAATGAATATCAACTTTAACTCACAAGCTCATCTGGCCAAACTCATCTTCTAGAGTGTGTAAAAGTTCAGAAAGGTCCTGATAGGTTTTAGAATCTGTATCGTTCTTCCATCTTACTCCGTACATTTTCCTGTCTATAGGCTGGTCACTGACCACACGATCATTACACAGGACCTTATTGTGCTGTTTCATGAGATGTAGAACATGTTGCACATTGGCCCCCACTGAATGGCTTGGAGCTGTTGACTGAAAAAACACAAAAACACACAAAATGAACAAACATAAGCCTTTACGTTTTGGAAATAGGTGGTCAAGTTTTCATTGTTGTCCCTATTGAACCCCTCACATCTTGTGTGTGTCAATGATGCAGGCAGTGAGGGGAAATCTAAGCTAAGCTAACATTTTTACTTTGCATAACACATCCTCTGCCAAGATAACAATTTTACCTGACCATTACCCTTACTGTATATAGGAGATTGTTGGAACATCCCAATCCAAAACTTTGGGCAATTATAAGGAGCTGGCTCTACCAATGTTGGATGAAAGACCTGACTTGCAACCAGCATTTCAATTCAGCCCAAAGCTGTTCAGTAGGGTTGAGGTCTGGGCTTTGTGTAGGCCACTCCAGTTCCTCCACAACAATCTCATCATCACATGTCTTTATAGATTTGGCACTGTGCACAGGTTCACAGTCATGCTAGAACAAATAATAACCTTCCCCAAACTGTTGTTGGAAGGATGGCTTTGTATGCTGTAACATTACCAGGAGAGGGACCCAGAGGGAGATGGGGGAAGGGGAGAGAGGGAGAGAGAGGGAGAGGGAGAGGGAGAGGGAGAGGGAGAGGGAGAGGGAGAGAGGGAGAGTGTGTGGAGAGGGAGAGTGTGAGGGAGGGAGAGGGTGGGAGAGAGAGAGAGAGAGAGAGAGAGAGAGAGAGAGAGAGAGAGAGAGAGAGAGGAGAGAGAGAGAGAGAGAGAGAGAGGAGAGAGGGGAGAGAGGGAGAGAGGGAGAGAGGGAGAGAGGGGGAGAGAGAGAGAGAGAGAGAGAGAGAGAGAGAGAGAGAGAGAGAGAGAGAGAGAACACATACACTTGTTCCCCAATTTACAATGGAACCTATTCTGGAGTTACAGCTTACCTTGCCTGCCACAAATGGAACATCTCCAAGGCTTAGCCTGTAGTGGGGTTGTGTCTGTCTGCTATGGCTTAATGAGCTGGCCTTCTATAATAAAAGACAAAGTGACAGCACTTATTACCACTAGCAGTCATAACAGATCTATCAATACATACTGAACTTTTGCCAGATTTTCTAACCTTCACATCATGGCCATTTACACTGTTATATGCTGAAAACCCAGAAGTTGCTGTGTGCACTTCTAAAGTGTACCTATTAAGAGCACCAGAAAAATAAAAAAAGAGAACTGTAGGTGTGATTAAGGCCCAGTTCACACAAGTGCAGGCCATGCGGCCTGAATGGGCTGCTGTGCCCATGTTTCATGCAAGGAAAAGGTGCATGCACCTTTTCCAAAACACAGCCGCACAGAAACCGCATGGTCTTTTTGATCACGCTGCAGGAGGAGGTGCGTGGGGGAGCCATTCAGAATGAATGACACATCCGTGCATCTGGGAAGAGAAACGCGTTGCGGCTGCAAGAATCTCATCCATTCCCGCACCCACAACATGTGGGCTAGTGTGAAGCCAAGTGATGCTAGTGAGTGTATACAGCAAGATTAAGAGTGTATATAAAAAGGCTTCTGCAGGCATTTTTTAAAAAAATGATTTTGCATTTAATGTTTGACGGCTGGAATAAGCATTGCCCAGAGAGAGGCTTTTATCACCTCGTACAATCAGCTTAATTTAAGGGAAAGTGGTTCCAAAGTTCCACTTGTCACTCCCCTCGTATAGTAAGTATTAGATTGTACAGGATTTCCTAAATATTCTCTACTGTTTAAAAGAAAACAACCTCTTGCAGCGTGGATATATGTATATTACCTGCTCAGTATAAGATGTGGGCTTTGCGCTCTTTGCATCTTTTGTGACGGAGGTTAAAGATTTGAAAAGAATTCTGTTGGTTTCCAGACTTGACTGCAACTGCAAAATACACAAATAGGCCACTTTAATGAGTCAATACAAAAAGAATGATGATCAAAAAAGTGTGATAGCCAATACCAACAAATCAGATTTTACTTTATTATATTCGCATCAGCTGGAGTTAAGCTCCATTTCTACTGAACGTAAAAGACCTTCCTAAATCAGACAAGAGGACTTCCATTGCCTCTGCTCCTCTTTGATTTAATTTCCTAATATTACTGCAGCGTGGATTTCCCTGACTAGATGGTGAAACCTCCGTCCCCTTCCAATATAATATGGCTTTGTTGACATTAAAGTGATATTAGAGGCAATAAAAAAAAAAAAAAAAAAAAAAAACATGTTATTACTTACATGCTCTGTGCAATGGTTTTGCATAGAGCAGCCCCGATCCTCCTCTTCTCAGGTCCCCTGTTGGCACCCCTGACCTGTCCCTCCTGCCACGTACCCCTTGAGCGAGCAGCTTGCTACGGGGGCACCCAAGCAGACTCACTTGCAAGCCGCAGCTCTGTGTGTCCATTCACACACAGAGGTGTGACTTGGCCCTGCACCCTCTTTCTCATTGGCTCAATGGGTGTGATTAACAGCAGCGGGAGCCAATGGCTCCCACTGCTGTCTCAGCCAATGGGAAGGGAAAGACTTGGGAGAGCCGAGATTCTTATGCATATGGCTGGATTGCGATGGTGCGACAGGGTTATGACAGTTTGGAAATACAGGGGTAGACAAAAATATGGAAACACTACATGATTTGTAAGTGTGAAAGTGACCACCAACATGTTTCGTGTTGAAAGGTGAAGTGATGTAACAGTCTTTTGCTTCCACTGCGTGATAAGACACCTAATTAACAGGTGGGAAGTCTCACATTTGTCATTCATTGCATGCGCTGCGAATAATACAGAGTCATGTCAGAGCTTACTGAGCACCAATGAGGGCAAATTGTTGGTGCCACTTACCTGGTGCCTGTGTGATTGAAGTTGACAATTTATTTGCAAGGTACAGTACCAAAGGTTATGACGGCATATACAGTTTCCGGAAAAAACGTCGTCTGCATAAGCACGGTCATCATGGTCAATTGACCAAAGAGACAAAAAGGACATTGTGCAGGATTGTGACCGGAAATAAGAAAACAACTGCTGCAAAAGTGACTGCAGGGCTCAATCTCAGTCTTCCAAAGCCAGTGTCCACAAAAACTGTGCAAAGGGAACTCCATAAGAAAAACATTCATGGGCGAGCTGCAATTGCCAAACCAAAAGTGACCCATATTAATGCTCTGCAAAGGAGAGAGTGGTGCAACACCCATACATCATGGACTGTTAATTAATGGAAGACTAATATGGTCCAATGATTCGAGTTTCACACTGTTCCCAACCACCTGACGTGTTTATGTGTGGCAAGCACTGTCCCAAGCTTGTGACCAGGACTGCCAACGCTAAAAGCATGGAGGCGGTGCAATCATGGTTTGGACAGCCAAATCTTGGCATTCTGCAGGCCCCATCATCACCTTGAGAGGTAGAGTCACTGCCAGCAACTATGTACAAATATTGGCTGACCATGTGCACCTCATGGTGCAGACATTGTTTCCCGAAGAAAGTGCCATTTACCAAGACGACAAAGCTCTGATTAACACAGCTGGTGTCAAATCGTGGTTTGATGAGCATGCAGATGAAGTCTTGCACCTTACTGTCTTGCTGCAGTCGCCGGACCTCAATATCATAGAGCCACTATGGTCAATTTGGGATTCAAGGTTTGGGCTCATTTTCCGCCTCTGGCATCTCTGCGAGAACTGGCACAATTTTTGCATAAAGAGTGGTATCAGATTCCATTATCTACCATCCAAGACTTACAGTATATTTGTCAATTCCCAGGAGAATTCAGGCCATCCTGGATGCCAAAAGGTGGTCCAACACCATATTAGGTAACGATTTTGTTCTTTCACCTGGTGTTTCCATAATGTTATATATATATATATATATATATATATATAGGCAAACTGCAGTAACCAAGAACCAACTATTTATAATCTTATTTATACCCACATTAGGCTGGTGAAAGCATGTTATGGTTGCCACGGGTTACTGCAAATCACCGAGCTTTGTGCGGTTCTTAAAACAACAGCCCACAAATCCAGAGAGGGGTCAAATGACAAGATCATGACACAACAGAACATTGCAATCATTTGGCAGATCTGTAGGTTTTGCTGAACATACCTGAGTTGCTTTCTCTTCAATCCGTTTCCGGTGTCGTTCTTCTTCCCTTAGCTTCTGTTCAATGTCCCGGATTTTATTCTTGGGGAAAATAAGTGCATTATATTTTTATTTTCTTTATTAAAACAACGTAGAACTATATAGTGTTTTGTGATGCCCCCGACACTGCACATATTGTGTATACCAGTACATCACTATTATCATGACCAATGTCATGTCCAAGTAACACATAAAAAGATGATGTTCTCAAATCAGAAAAATGTATTGAGCTAGCTCAAGTGTCCTATATACCGGGACAGCTGTACCAGATGACACTGCTCTTTGAATACCAGCTCTCAGGACTTCTACTGCAAATCATGTACATCCTGTATTCCACAAATTGAGTATCTAATTAAGACATTACTCTCTACAAAATAGCCCGACAACATGGAAGCAGAAATGTATGATCCTTATTTACACTATCTATCTTACTGTTGCTAATGGTTGAAAAAAATGTTCAAGTGAGAATTTTAGTTAAGTGAGAACAGCTAACCTGAAGTACTTTCTGCAGGGTCATGTGGTATCCGAAAATATAGAAGATGAGATGGAATGGGAAGCTCGGACAATAGACCCTCATCCTCTGGGAGAAAGAATGTGGGCATTCCCAAAGCACAGGTCATGTACAATGAATACTCAGAGCACTTTCAAACCCTAGCGTGGGGCTGAAACAACTAATCGACAGAGATGCTATCCTATGGCTGACCAGAGAGAAAGGCAATATCCCCTTACAGCAACATAATAATATCGGTGTTTCCCAACTACTCGTCCGAAGTCGAAAAGCAACGATCCCGTTTCATGGATGTCAAGCAGCACCTTCACACTAAACACCTGAAGTATGCCATGCTTTTCCCTGCCTGCCTTCGGGTGGTGGGCGAAGATCAGGTGCATTATTTCAAAGATCCGGAGACAGCTTTGACCTGGCTCGACCAACATGATGGGCATCATAGCCGCCTTGCTTGAACCAGTCACCACCTCACGGGGGTTGTGGATATCTTTTTCCCCACGCCAAGGGGCCGGAAGGAGACTCTGATTCTCCCCCTTAAAGCTGGATATAAATTTTCCTCCCCGGACCTTCTTCCCAGCATCCTTCTGAATCTTTTACAGCCCCCCCCCCCCCCCCATTTATTTAATTTTATTTCTACCTGCCTCCCCCCATTATCTTCCTTGTCCTTCCCCTCCCCCCCTTTCTTCTTTCTGTGTCTCCCATTTTGGCCCCGGTATTATTATATCCTGCTCCACTGACAACCCAGCATTTTTTGCCCCCTCCACCATTTTCTTATTTCCACCTCAAGCTATCCGAGACTGGAAGACAGGGGGGAGAACCTCCTTTTTCTCCATGTGGGGGGCCTGCCACACTGGAACTTTCACCATTGAGCAGATGTTCCCAGATCCAGCCAGATTATCTATAACCCACTTTAAGCTGACAGTTGCACCTTGTGCTCTACCGTCCAATCATCCCTCCAGCAAGTGTTTGTCCCCTTAGGACTGTGTTTTATGATTATATGTTATGGGATATATGCTCCCACCAGGTTGGGGAGGTGGAGGGCAAGGTGGGGGTTTGGGGAAATGCTCAGGCTTTTCTACATGTTTGTTATAGTTGGTATTTATCAGAACCATTGGTACATTGTTTTGTGCCACACATTTGCACTATTTATACTCACTTATGCTCAGGATGTTCTCTATAATGTCTCTGCCATGGGGGCTCTGCCAAGTTCTGAGTAGCACCAACACCAGAGCAAAAATTTTTGTAAAAACTCTGAAAGTCGTGGCCAACCCAAATAATAGTGCTATGAACTAGAAATGCTGAGCGCCTACTGAAAACCTCAGAAATATTTGGTGAGGAATGAATATCGGTACATGCAGATATGCGTCCTTGATGTCTATGGATGCCAAAAAAATCTCACAAAACAACTGTCAATCTCCCTAGGTCTGGTGCACCATGCAAGATCTCACGTCGTGAAGTGTCAATGATCATGAGAACAGTGAGGAATCATCCCAGAACTACACGTGAGGATCTTGTCAATGATCTCCAGGCAGCTGGGACCACAGTCACCAAGAAAACAATTGGTAACACACTATGCTGACAAGGATTGAAATCCTGCAGTGCCCGCAAGGTCCCTCTGCTCAAGAAAGCACATGTCCAGGCCCATCTGAAGTTTGGCACTGAACATCTGAATGATGCAGAGGAGGACTGGTTGAAAGTGTTGTGGTCAGATGAGACCAAAATCGAGCTCTTTGGCATCAACTCAACTGGCCGTGTTTGGAGGAGGAGGAATGCTGCCTATGACCCCAAGAACACCATCCCAACTGTCAAACATGATGGTGGAAACATTCTGCTTTGGGGGTGTTTTTCTGCTAAGGGGACAGGACAACTGCACTGCATCAAAGGGACGATGGACGGGCAATGTACCGTCAATTCTTGGGTGAGAACCTTTTTCCCTCAGCCATGGTATTGAAAATGGGTCGTGGATGGGTGTTCCTGCATGACAATGACCCAAAACACACGGCCAAGGCAACAAAGGAGTGGCTCAAGAAGCACATTAAGGTCCAGGAGTGGCCTAGCCAGTCTCCAGACCTAATTCGATTGAAAATCTGTGGAGGGAGCTGAAAGTTCGAATTGCCAAATGTCAGCCACCAAACCTTAATGACTTGGAGAGGATCTGCCAAGAGGAGTGGGCCAAAATCCCTCCAGAGCTGTGTGCAAACCTGGTGGCCAACTACAGGAAATGTCTGACCTCTGTGATTGCCAACAAGGGATTTGCCGCCAAGTACTAAGTCATGTGAAGGGGATTAAATACTTTTTTCCCTCATGACCATGCAAATCAGTGCATCATTTGTTAGACATGCATTTCTTTTGATTTTTTTGTTGCTATTCTGTCTCTCAGTGATACAATACACCTACCATTCGATTTTTAGACTGATCATTTCTGAGTGAGTGGGCAAACATTAAAAATCAGCAGGGGGTCAAATACTTATTTCCTTCACTGTAAGTGATTTTGCAGTTTCAGGTAGGACCACCATTCGTGGCCTTGGCTGTCAATCACCGGGTCCCGTCCGGTGATAACTCGCAGGCACCTGGTGATTGCCGAGTACTACCAATGAGGGAGAAAACTGTATGTAAACAATAACAGAGCTCTGCATAACAGAGCCATACAAAGCAGTGTGCTTACAGTTGAAAGCACACACAGTACATAATGTGAAACAACACACAGTTAACCCTTTGATCGCCCCATGTTAATCCCTTCCTGCCCAGTGCCATTAGTACAGTGTCAGTGCTTTTCATTAGCACTGATCACTGTATTGGTGTCACTGGGGATGTCAGTGACACCAAGTCAGTTCCCCCAGTGTCAGAATGCCTGTCACAGTCCCGCTAGATGTCGCTGATCACCGCCATTACTAGTAAAAAAAAATTAAAAAATTCCAGTATATATACCGCCATTTGTAAACGCTATAACATTCACGAAAAACAATTAATTTACACATATTGGGATTTTTTTTTAGCAAAGACATGTAGCAGCATACATTTTGGCCTAAATTTATGAAATTTAATTTTTTAAACTTTTTTATTGGACGTTTAATAGCAAAAAGTCAAAAATATTGTTTTTTACTCAAAATTATCCGTCTTTTTTTGTTTATAGCACAAAAAATAAAAAACGTTGAGGCGATCAAATACCACCGAAAGAAAGCTCTATTTATGGGAAAAAAAGAACGTAAATTTAATTTGGGTTCAGCGTTGCATGATTGCGCAACTGTCAGTTAAAATAACACAGCACCGTAACACAAAAAATGGCCTGGCCAGGAAGGAGGGTAAATCCTCTGGAGGGCAAGTGGTTAAAGTAGCACAATGCCTTATAGAAAAAAATGGCCTGGTCATGATGGGGGTTAAACCTTAAAGAGATTATGTGGGCAACAATTTAAAATATTTCCACTAGCAAGATCTAATAAGTTGCCATGGACAACATACTTTTCTTACTTCCAGGTTTCATAGCCAACAGTGTTCAGACACGACTTACCTCTGATACAACTTGTATTGTAGTTAGTTTTAAGTATTCTTGTTCCAGTTTATCTAGCTTCTCTTGCAAATTAATTTTCTCTAGTGCTTTGTCACTTTCAAGGGTCACCTGCAGAAAGAACAATGACAACCATATTGTAGGTTAACATTATGAAGCTAAGAAATATTGTATGCAGGGGCGGACTGACAACTCATGGGGCCCCAAGGCAATAGGGGATCATGGGGCCCCTGTGTCCTTGCCCAAACTCAAAAAAAGCCTATGAAAATGGTACCAGGGGCATCTCATGGGGCCCCCCTACTGACCCCGGGCCCTCGGGCAGTGCCTGAGTTTTCAAATGGTCAGTCTGCCCCTGATTGTATGTTGAAGGTTCTTTTGGATGGAAATGGAATAATCAGTATACTGTGTTTGAACAGTTGGATCGAACATAAGCAATTGGAAAAAAACCCAGCCAAGCATGGAGAAACAAACAAATCACATGCAAAAAGTGTCCCATATTTACAACACACATTTTGAAAGCTATTCAAAAAGATATTTAAAGATTGCAAATTAGAGGTAAGAAGAAGTAAAAGCTATCAGAGTTGTCTTTATGCTATTCAGGATTCAGGTAGGGAAGGAGGAGGAACAGGGATATTTATTACTTTGATACCTGTGTCTGCAGCACAGATTTCCTTTCACTCTCTGCATTCTGTACCGTCTTTTTCATGTATTCCAGCTGTCTTTCCAAAAGGCTGCATCGGGACTGAGCTGCCAACAGCTGTCTAGTGAGGTCTATGAGGAGCAAAAACAAAAAACAGAGAAATCACTATCATGTATAGAACCAGACAACAAAGCATGAAAACTAGAGGATTCTGGGGGAGCTTTGCTTGGCCAAGGTAATCTGTTATATTACAGTAATTGTGTATACAAACTGCAGAGCTTACACAGCATTTACTGGTTTAACCAGTTGCCGCCAGGCCTATGGCCATGTGACGTCCTTTCCGGAACGCGCATTGCGCATGCCCTCAGAGGCCACGCTGTGGCGAGATCTGTTACCGGCCGTGTACCTCGGACACGGCCGATGACAGATCTGTGTACCATCCCCGTTGCCAGTACCATGTGACCTGCTGTGAGCAATCACAGCAGGTCACATGACAGTTATATACAATGAATGGCTTCTTTTCATGCCATCCATTGCATGTTTCTAGCTGTGAATGGTCACAGAGATCATATGCACAGGCTTGGCCAATCACAGCCCATCTGTGTCATGTGATTAGCTGTGGTCAATCACAGCTAATCACAACAAAAAAACCCTGAATGAATCGATGTAATTCAATTAAATGCTTGCTTATAGCAAAGAAATTCTTTGCTATAATCAGAAATTGTGTAAAAAAAAAAAAAAATACTGATCACTTCCCCCCCAAAGTAGTACAATGTTACTATGGTAACATTATACTACTTTGGTAATAGTGCAATATGAAAAAAATGTAATAAAAGATAATTGAAAAAACTGAAAAAAAATGATTTATTTATTTTGTACGGTCACCCGTCAGTGTCCCTGATCATCGCCACACCACTTATATACTGACGCTGTACTGCTCTGGTGACAGCATGTAAAAAAAAAAAAAAAATTTGTGAAATTTTTTTATTTTCTTCATTTTCCGAAAAATTATGACAAAAAAATTACAACTTCAAAAAACTCGCCATGCCTCTTATGAAATACGTCGGACTGTCTACTTTGCAAAAAGGGTCATTTGGGGAATATCTGTACTGTTCTGACATTTGGGGGATATCTGTACTGTTCTGACATTTGGGGGATATCTGTACTGTTCTGACATTTTTTTTGCGCCTCAGGAAATTAGATTGCTGTCAGTACTTCAGGATTGATCAATTTTCAGATCTATACCATAGTTTGTGTGAACTCTAAAACTTTCCTACAGACTAAATAATAAATACTGACATGGGTTATTTTCACCAAAGACATGTAGCAGAGTACATCTCGGCCTAAATTTATGAAGAACAATTATATATTTGTAAACTTTTATAACAGAAACAAAGAAAAGAAACGTGGGTTTTTTTTCAAAATTTTCGGTCTTTTTTTGTTAATTTAGCAATAAAATAAAAACCCCAGTGGTGATTAAATACCACCAAAAGAAAGCTCTAGTTGTGTGAAGAAAATGATAAAAAAAATTTAGTTTGGGTACAGTGTTGCATGACCGCGCAATTGTCATTCAAAGTGTGAGAGCACTGAAACCTGAAAATTGGCCTGGGCAGGAAGGGGGTAAAAGTGCCCGGTATTGAAGTGGTTAGTAAGTTAAAAAGTATAGAATAAGAAAAGGTAACGGTATTAAATTATAATATGAGCCTATAAAATTACATTTTATCCAGGACCGAAACCTTTTTATTAAATTTTGGGTAGAGTAAGGAAAGGTTGAAACCCGTCAGATTTTTTCACAGTCTGTGTCCCATTGGGAACATTTCCCTTTAAAGCGAAACTAGAAAGGTAAAAATACCTGTTACCAAGTCGCTCACCGGCATCTTCTCCCTGGCTTCTTATGGGTGTTGGTCTCCAGCTATCTGGATTAGTCAGCATGGGATGACGCATGATGCATGTGCAGCAGTGCAGTCACACCACAACTCAGGCAGTATGTCAAAATATAAACTGAGCTGCACATGAGCAGCTCAATGTACATTCACAAGGGGAATGCAAACAGGCAGGTCAGTGTGTTTTATTGCAGAAGAGACATTTACTAGAGTGTGCGCTATGCTCTCCTTTTCCCCACAACTTCATGAGTGTGCTGAAGCTTCAACCGGTATTAAACCCAAAACCAACAATATAATATATTGCAGCTTACCAATCCTTAGAGGTGGTGGCTGCATTAGGATTTTTCAGGCTTCTTTTCCCCTCTGTTTTCACCAGGTGATCTGCCTAGTAACACACCTCCTGTATTAGAGTGCCCCCACTCTGGATTAAGGAGCACAGGGGGAACATATGGACATCAGCATAGTCAGTCTGGGGGAAGGGACGTGTTAGGTGCACTAGAAGATTTAGATACACTAACAAATTGAAGCCAAACTCAAGCTCACACTGAAGTTACTCAAGCAGTTACAGCAAACAGCTTTATTCATTTTGGGGATAAAGGTTTTATACGAATAAACTAAAGCTGATCCTTCTAAGCACCCCTGCCAGTAGTAAATGGTTTGTCGCAAGCCTCTAACTACAGGGTAGCTTGTTCTGTTGAGAAACAACACACTTACTAGCAGGATCCCCAGGTGAAAATAAAGGGAAAAAAAGCATAAAAAAGAAAAATAATGTAGCCATCACATCTAAGAATTGGTAAACTGCATTATAATAAATGTTTGCTTTTGGGTTTAAAACTGTTTTCACCAATCAGGTGCAAGGAAAGACCAGCATTTGTGCTTGCACATGATTGGATGAAGGAAATTAGCAGAGCTTCACCACATTCACCAAGCTCTGGGGAAAATGATTGCAACTGCACATACAAAGTACACAGGGTTGTTTTTTTACTAAAGCTGAAAAGTGCAAAATCAGTCTTACTTATCCATAGAAACCAATCTGCCTCAGTTCAATTAAGCTTTGGTGATACAACCTGCAAGCTGATTGGTTTCTATGCAAACCTGAGCCTGATTTTGCACTCTCCAGCTTTAGTAAATAAACCCCCCAGTCTATTTTATTCTCCTTTAATAAATAAACCCCACTGAATGCCTCTGGGGGAGAAAATCCCCCAAACTGAGGGGAGGATTCACTTCACAGACTGTTATCTTCATTGAAAAACATCTTTTTATTCCCGTTGTAATGACAATTTAGAATTTTCCCCTCACGTTCAGGTCCAAAGATCACTAAAACTGATCAAGAGAGTGATCCTCCTTAACAGGGACAATCAATGTGCAATTAAATGACCTACCTATATATTATTATTAAAGCATTATTATTATTATACAGGATTTATATGGCGCCAACAGTTTGCTCAGCGCTTTACAATATAAAGGGAGACAATACAGCAACAATACAGTTCAATACAAGAGGGTTAGGAGGGCCCTGCTCCTTGGAGCTTACAATCTAGGACCATCATCCAACTAACTTATTCTACCTGCCCAAGAAGGAACCTAAAGGGAATTGGGTATACAGGGGGAATGTACAGTGCCTTGAGAAAGTATTCATACCCCTTCAAATTTTCCACATTTTGTCATGTTACAACCAAAACCGTAAATGTATTTTATTAGGATTCTGTGATGGACCAACAAGAAGTGGCACATAATTGGGAAATGGAAGAACAATGATAAATGGTTTTCAAGATTTTGTACAAATAAACTGAAAAGTGTGGCGGCATTTGTATTCAGTGCCCTGAGTCAATACTTTTTAGGACCACCTGTAATTACAGCTGCAAGACTTTTTGGGGATGTCTCCACCAGCTTTGCACATCTAGAGAGTGAAATTTTTGCCCATTCCCCTTTGCAAAATAGCTCAAGATCTGTCAGACTGGATGGAGAACATCTGTGAACAGCAATTATCAAGTCTTGCCACAGATTCTCAATTGGATTTAGGTCTGGCCTTTGACTGGGCCATTCTAACACATGAACATGCTTTGATCTAAACCATTCCATTGTAGCTCTGGCTGTATGTTTAGAGTTGTTGTCCTGCTGGAAGGTGAATGTCCACCCCAGTCTCATGTCTTTTGCAGACTCTAACAGGTTTTCTTCTAAGATTGCCCTGTATTTGGCTCCATCCATCTTCCCATCAACTCTGACCAGCTTCCCTGTCCCTGCTGATGAAAAGCATCCCCAACATGATACTGCCACCACCAAGTTTTACGGTGTGTTCAGGGTGATGTGCAGGGTTACTTTTCCGCCACACATAGCATTTTGCTTTTAGGCCAAGAAGTTAAATTTTGGTCTCACCTGACCAGAGCTCCTTCTTCCACATGTCTGCTGTGTCCCCCACATGGCTTCTCACAAACTGTAAACTGGACTTAAGGCTTTCTTTCAACAATGGCTTTCTTCTCGCCACACTTCCATAAAGGCCGGATTTGTGGAGTGCACGACTAATAGTTGTCCTGTGGACAGATTCTCCCACCTGGGCTGTCCAGAGCTTGTCCAGAGTTACCATGGGCCTCTTAGCTGCTTCTCTGATGAATGCTCTCCTTGCCCAGCTGGTCAGTTTAGGTGGACGGCCATGTCTTGGTAGGTTTGCAGTTGTGTCATACTCTTCTCATTTTCGGATGATGGATTGAACAGCGCTCAAAGAGATGTTCAAAGCTTGGGATATTTTTTTTTTATAACCTAACCCTGCTTTAAACTTTTCCACAACTTTATCCCTGACCTGTCTGGTGTGTTCCTTGGCCTTTATGATGCTGTTTGTTCTCTAACAAACCTCTGAGGGCTTCACATAACAGCTGCATTTATACCGAGATTAAATTACACAGGTGGACTATTTACCTATTAGGTAACTTCTGAAGGCAATTGGTTCCACTAGATTTTAGTTAGGGGTATCAGATTAAAGTGTGCTGAATACAAATGCACGCCACACTTTTCTGATATATTAATTGTAAAAAAAAATTGAAAACCAAATTATCATTTTTCTTCCACTTCACAGATATGTGCCACTTTGTGTTGGTCTATCACATAAAATCCCAATAAAATACATTTATGTTTTTGGCAGTAACATGACAAAATGTGGAACATGTGGAAGCTGCTGTGCAGAGAGAAGAGTGCTTTGATATCCTCAGGCAGCCTTTCAGAAAGCCTTGACGACGCAATGTGTGAGGCTAGCGGTGAGGCCATCATGGTGAGCGGAGTCCGGATGCCATATTGGAATATGGATGTGACATGCCATGTTTTATCTACTCAAATGTGAGCGTTGTTTTTACCATTTTCAATAAAAACTGTGAGAACAATCTGCACCATCAGAGAGGAGTTATGTTTGTACATAAACTGCGGTTGGCCTCCTTTTATCAGTGGGGGTCCAAAAATTAAGGAGAGCTGATACCCATAAGGTGGGGTGAAGGACACTCTGGTGTGTATCGTGTGGAAACTGGAGCTTCCTTGCACTATCTGAAAATCGATTTAATTGTAATAGGAGATTGCACGAAAATTGAATGGTGCATGAGACTCACTTTATGTACGATTTTTTTTTTTCTACCACTATTGCACTTTATATCGACTTTGGGATAGATATATTTAACATCTGGGGTGATCAAAGGGTTAAACAGTGTGCTGGGTATGTTTTACATGCGTGTAAACATGTGTGTGTAAACATGCTGCTTTGTATTGCTCTGCTGTGCAAAGCAATACAAAGCAGCATACTCGTGCTGACAGGGGAGACATCTGTGTTTACACACAGATGTCTCCCCTGTCCCCTGTCCGCTCGGCCACGATCACCAAGTGCCTGGCCAAGAATCGGTGGACGGGACACGGTGATATGCCGTGGAGAAAATAGCGGTGTGGGTAGAAGCACGCGCACGCCCCCTACCTGGAAATGCAAATCACGCATATATACACACTTGATTTTGAACATTCCTGCCACTCAATAATTTATCACATCTTAACAGATTTTTATATTAAAAAGAAAAAAAAAAAAAAAAAACGGAGTACACACAAACACACACACTCTTCAGAAAAAGTGAAGAAACACTTTTTAATCAGAGTATAGCATCAAGTCAATTAAACTCCTGGGATATTGATCTGTTCTGTTACGTAGCAGAGGGGGTTGTTAATTTCATTAACACCAAAGCAGCTGAAACTAATTCAACAACAGGTGCACTAGATGGGCAACAATGAGATGACCCCCAAAACAGGAATGGTTTTACAGGTGGAAGCCACTGACATTTTTCCCTACTCATCTTTTCTGACTGTTTTCACTAGTCTTGCATTTGGCTAGGGTCAGTGTCACTACTGGTAGCATGAGGCGATACCTGGATCCTCCAGAGATTGCAAAGGCAGTCCAACTCCTCCAGGATGGCACATCAATACGTGCCATTGCCAGTAGGTTTGCTATGTCTCCCAGCACAGTCTCAAGAGCATGGAGGAGATTCCAGGAGACAGCCAGTTACTCTAGGAGAGCTGGACAGGGCCATAGAAGGTCCTTAACCCATTAGCAGGACCAGTGTCTGCTGCTTTGTGCAAGGAGGAACAGGATGAACACTGCCAGAGCCCTACAAAATGACCTCCAGCAGGCCACTGGTGTGAATGTCTCTGACCAATCAGAAACAGACTTCATGAGGGTGGCCTGAGGGCCCTCTAGTGGGCCCTGTACTCACTGCCCAGCACCATAGAGCTCGATTTTCATTTGCCATTGAACACTAGAATTGGTAGGTCCACCACTGGCGCCCTGTGCTTTTCACAGATGAGAGCAGGTTCACCCTGAGCACATGTGACAGACGTGAAAGGGTCTGGAGAACCCGTAGAGAACATTGTGCTGCCTGTCACATGGTTCAGCATGACCGTTTTGGTGGTGGGTCAGTGATGGTCTGGGGAGGCATATCCATGGAAGGACGCACAGACCTCTACAGGATAGACAATGGCACCCTGACTACCATTAGGTATCAGGATTAAATCCTTGGACCCTACACTGGTGCAGTGGGTCCTAGGTTGCTCCAGGTGCATGACAATGCCCGGCCTCATGTAGTGAGAGTATGCAGGCAGTTCTTGGAGGATGAAGGAAATGATACCAGTGAATGGTCCCCACGCTCACCTGATTTAAATACAAGAGAACACCTCTAGGATATCATGTTTTGGTCCATCCGACGCCGCCAGGTTGCACCTCAGACTGTCCAGGAGCTCAGCGATGCCCTGGTCCAGATCTGGGAGGAAATCCCCCAGGACACCATCCGTCGTCTCATTAGGAGCATGCCCCGATGTTGTCAGGCATGTGTACAAACACGTTGGGGTCATACAAACTACTGAGGACCATTTTAAGTTGCTGCCATAACATTTCAGCAAATTGGACTAGCCTGCTGCATAATTTTATCACTTTGATTTTTGGGGTGTCTTTGAATTCAGTCCTCTGTAGGTTGATAATTTTCATTTCCATCAAACGATGGGACATCCTTACTTACCCTAACACATTAACAAGTCCATATCAGTATAGATATCCATCATGAGATTTTTCCCCATTGAGATCTGATGTGTTTTCACTGTAAGCTAAAATAGAAGAGCATAACTGGGAACTGACTGATTGTTATGTGTCCATGGCAGAAGAACCTGTACTCTACCTTTATTCTTTCTAGACACATCATCCACCATGTTGTCCTTAGACTGTCTTTGCTCATCCAGCTGCTCCCTATAATCCAAAGACTCCTTTGCCAGCCGCTTTATGTTCTCCTCGGCTTTCTGCCGATCCAGTTCCAGCTGGCGGAGCTTTTCCTGAAGATTCTTTAAAGCTGAGATTATTGCTGTAGAAATGAAAAAAAAAAAAAAAAAAAAAGAAAAAAAAACACATAAGAAAAAGGGAAGGTCTTGGATAATAGAATAACACTGGATAACCCTCACTGAAAAAGATGTGCAGATGTTTTACTTTTTTTTTTTTTTTTTACATTATGACCATACAGGACCAGAGGACTAAAGCAATTAAATAGCCCTCCAGCCAAATCAGTGTGCAGCGCAGTAAAGTCATCCTAGAAAAGAAGAAAGTCACATGTCTCATTCCATCACATATCCCAAAAATAGGATTATTCCTCATTTCAGGATAGTGGGTGGAGTCATGCAAATGCTTTCTGCCCCTTTGGCCTGATTAACAACTCCTGGATTATAGTACAAATATAGCCTAATATTATAGAGCCATTACAGTTTGGAATAAAAGGCTTTATAATATTAGGCATTATTTGTTCTGGATGCGCATCTGGCCAATGGGGCGCAAAGCAATAATTTACTTGGCTCCACCCACTGTCCCAAAAATGAGGAATAATCCTCCTATTTTTGGGATGTGTGTTAAAATGAGACACATATCACAGTTATTGAACGCTTTTTTTTTTTTTTTTTTTTAAAGGTCTTTTTTTACACCATACAGCGTATAATGCGTAGCACATAGTGCTTGTACCATGGTTTGCAATGTTAACACATGCTGCAATTTGTTGTTAAAATGTATTGCAGCTAAATACAAAGTTAACTGTGTCCCACAGCACATTATGATGTGTTAGGTCTCATTCCCATGGCCAGTACACATCCATAAAAACTTTACTGATCATTAGGCAAGGAACAAAAGTTCTTGCATAGCGTTCAGTAAATAGATTTGTTTTTTTAACCTCCCTGGCGGTATGATTATTTCACATTTTTGGTGCTGAAAGCGGTACCATTTTTTTGCATGGAAATATGTATTTTTTTATTGTAGGCCTGTAATTTAGGAATAACTCACTGAAATCTGTCCGAACAAGAGTCTAGTAAACATCCGGATATGATAAAACTTGAAACATGAAATCATAAATTATAATTTAATAAATACTCATAAAAAATAATAATATAATAATAATAAATTTAATTCAATAATATAATCAAACCAAAAACACTGAAATTTGAAATAGCGCCAAGTTTGCACATCACTGAGCAAAGTCGCAAAATCGTTTTCAGTGTCTGATGACGAATTTCCCCCACGAAATCATTATCACTCAATTCTGCAAGTGGTTCTGATTTACTATCGCTGTTCTCTAACCGGTCTAAAACCAATTTTGACCTAAAGGGACGCTTTTTGGAAGTTTCCAGGCAGAAAGAACAGTCAAAAAAGGCAGGCACAGGACAAAGCAGTAGGGCCAAAATGTATGTGAAATGCTTTGATACAGGAATGTTTTGCTATGAAATAATCATTTTAAAAAAAATTAAATTTTTTTTAAATTTTCAAATTTGCTGCCGGTTCCGGCGCCCGTACGTCCCGACGTCACAGGGACCGGACACGGAAGCCAGATGCCGGCATCGGCCGGAGGAGATGGCCGGGGACGCTGCAGGGGACGCATCGCAGGAGCGAAGGACAAGGTAAGCGCTGTAGGGAATCCCTATGCAACGCCGCATGGTAAGCCTGAGTGTAGCTCGGGGTTACCGCTTTTGGTGCTAAAACTTTACCCCGAGCTACACTCGGGAATACCACCAGGGAGGTTAATGTGCAAAATTTGTCCTGTTCCTTTTTTGCAATGACATACATGTATACGCATGTGCTCAGATGCAAATGTTTGGATTTTGTGTTCCGGATACGCAGTACTGAAAACAATGCAGCTGTATTCAGATCTGTAAATAAAAACGGTTGTAAATGCGTTTTACGGCCAAAGAATGAAACTTTAGGCTGCATTCACACACATGAAGTGCGAGAACTCGTGCAAAATTGGATGATTTTTCTGGATTTCATGAAACATGCATCATGCCTGGGCTGCCATTAACAATGGGCAAGCAAGGCGCACAGTTTTCCATGTGAAAAGTGCATGGATCATGCGGCAAATGACGCAAAAGCTCACATATCTAAGCTGCCAAGTTTGTTGCGTGTAGGGCAGGCCACTGAAGTGAACTGACGCATCCCTGCTGAGTTAGTGCAATAGTTCTTAAATAGGCAAGGAGAGTGAGCTTTGCTGATTGCAGAGTTATAGGTCTTACTCAGACAAGGGCATGATGGACCTCGGCATTGAGGCCACTGCTTCCACAGCAGAGCAAGGCTCCCACTCTGTAACATGCTTTCCTACTCATCCTGTGACTGCTTCCCAAAGACAGTGAACTGTAAGACTTTAAAAGCCTTTTGTTTTGATGCACGTGAAATGTATTTATTATGGCTTTAACAACTTCCCGTCTGGCCCATGTATATAAATGGCCGGATGGGAGCATTGCAGGAGCGGGTGGCCGTTTATAAACATCCTCCCCGTGCTCCCTGGGAGTGCGCGGCACCGCGATACGGAGGACACAGTGGAACACCGATTGCTGTACGGGACCTCTGTGTTGGCCAATCGGTAATCACATGAATAGTAGTAAGCAAGATGTCACTTCTGACATCATTTCTTACTACTAGTAAAATCTGTGAATGATCACAGAGGTCACATGGTACAAGGTTATTCACAACAGCCTTGTACCATGTGACAAGCTGTGACCAATCACAACTCACACAGTATTTCTCAATGGCTGCAAGAATGCAGCCAGAGAGAAGGAGAAATGATTGCTTTTACAGCCTTTATGGGTGTAAATGCAATCAGTGTAAAAAAAAATCATCACCTCCCACAAGTAGTACAGTGTCATTATGGTGACACTTACTGCTAGGGTGACAGTATGTTAACCACTTCCAGTCCGGACACTTTCACCCCCTTCCTGTCCAGGCCAATTTTCAGCTTTCAGCGCTATCACACTTTGAATGACGATTGCTCGGTCATGCAACACTGTACCCATATGAATTTTTTAGCATTTTTTGAAACAGATAAAGCTTTATTTTGGTGGTATTTATTCACCGCTAGGATTTTAATTTTTTTTTTGCTATGTAAATGAAAGTCCAAAAATTTTGAAAAAAAGTGTTTTTCTTATAAAATTTTGCAAATAAATAGTATTTCATCAGAAATCTTGGCCAAAATTTATTCTGTTATCTTTTTTTTAAAAAAAAAAAAAAAATAACCCAATTAGTTTATAACCAAAAATTATAATTTCTAAACATTTTTTTTTTTATATTATGTTTTTTTTTTTTTTTTTTACATACTGTCACCCTAGCAGTACAGTGTCCCATTGTGACACTGTACTACTTGTGGGGGGTGATGAAGGTTTTTTTTTTTTTTACACTGATTGCTTTTACACCCATAAAGGCTGTAAAAGCAATCATTTCTCCTTCTCTCTAGCTTGCATTCTTGCAGCCACTGAGAACTATTGTGTGAGCTGTGATTGGTCACAGCTTGTCACACGGTACAAGGCTGTTGTGAATAGCCTTGTACCATGTGACCTCAGTGATCATTCACAGATTTCACAAGTAGTAAGCAATGATATCAGAAGTGACATCTTGCTTACTACTCTGCATGTGATCACTGATTGGCCAATCAGTGATCACATGATCGGGACCTCGCACAGAGGTCCCGTCCAATGATCGGTGTTCCACTGTGTCCGGAGGACACAGCGGGCACCGAATCGCGGTGCTGCTCGCTCAAGCAGGGTGCAGGGAGGCCTTTATAAACAGCCACCCGACCCTGCACTGCCACCGTTCCTGCCGTTTATATACATGGGGCCGGACGTGAAGTGGTTAAAGGAAAAACAAACAAACAAATAATATAAAAAAATAAAATAAAAATGTCAACAAAACGTTTTGGTTATAAACTAATTTGGATTATTTTTCTAAAAAGATAGATGAATACATTTTGGCTAAGATTTATGAAGAAAGATTATTTGCAAAATGTTATAAAAAACACTTTTTTCAAAATGTTTGGACTTTTTCAATTATATAGCAAAAAAATTAAAATCCCAGGTGAATAAATACCACCAAAAAATAAAGTTTTATCTGTCTCAAAAAAATGCTAAAAAATCATATAGGTACAGTGTTGCATGACTGCGCAATTGTCATTCAAAGTGTGACAGCACTGAAAGCTGAAAATTGGCCTGGGCAGGAAGGGGGTGAAAGTGTCCGGACTTGAAGTGGTTAACAATCAAACAATTGAAAACGACAACGTAATGTGCATGCTGTAAATTATCTGAGCAATTGGGTAATGCCCTTAGTGAAAAATTTAATTTAAAAAATAAAGCACGGCTCAGAAAATACTGCCTCTGTTATGCTTTAGGGAAGTGAGGCTAAGCTTGTATTCCTATAAATAGTTTGTAATTCTCTATGTACACCCAGGCAGACAGATTTGCATACATCTTTTATGCATTATAGCTCCTTCTCACATATCTCTGATTGTGCCAACCCACTGAATAAAAAAAAAAAAAAAATCATTACCCATGAGGGCAATTGTAGCAGTGGATGGAATAGAAGTTTATGGTGTAGGTAATCATGAACATTTAATTCATTGCTTTGTGTGCGCTAATTGCATAGGTCTCGGTGGTTGAGAATTACATCTATGGAAACCTTGACAGGATCTCCCAATAATCCTTACATATTCTACAGCTCACCGATGTAGGACAGTAGGCAGGCCAGGGATATCCGTTTCAATAAACACAGGTTACTTCTGACACCGCACAGATGTTACCAACAAGGCAACTCATACATAATTCAATCAGTACTATCAATATCCACCCTCTGAAATTATTTATACTCTTCAAGATCAAATGTAAAGTTGACTAATAATTATTAGTCAATCTAATGGTATATAAAAACTGGGAGCAAACCAGATGCATAAAAAAACTTTATTATTTAAAAGGATTTAAAAGGATCATAACTTTTATTTCATGCTCCTAGATTGAAAGAGCAGGGCCCTCGAACCCCTCGTGTATTGTATTGTTACTGTATTGTCTCATGTTCTGTCCCCCCACTTTAATGTACAGCGCTGAGCAAACCCTTTGGCGCTATATTATTATTATTATACAGTGTTTATATAGCACCAATGGGTTTGCTCAGCGCTGTACATTAGCGAGGGGGACAGAACATGAGACAATACAGTACAATACACGAGGGGTTCAAGGGCCCTGCTCTTTCAAGCTTACAATCTAGGAGGGAGGGGATAGTGGTACAGGAGAAAGTAGCTGGAGTGGTACGAGGAGGATCGGTTGTTAGGTGAGGGTGGGGTAGGCTTCCCTGAAGAGATGGGTTTTCCAGGGTGCGCCTGAAGGTGAGGAGGGTAGGTGACAGTCTGATGGATTGGGGTAGGGAGTTCCAGAGGATGGGGGAAGTCCTGGAGAAGTCCTGCAGTCGGGCGTGGGAGGAGGAGACCAGGGAGCTAGAGAGTAGGAAGTCTTGTGAGGAGCGAAGGGCACGGGTAGGGTGCTATTTGGGTATCAGGTCAGTGAGGTAGTTAGGGGCAGTGTTGTGAATGGCTTTGTATGTCAGAGTTAGTAATTTGAATTTGATGCGCTGGGCAATCGGGAGCCAGTGAAGAGATTGGAAGAGGAGGGTGGCAGATGTGGAGCGGTTGGTGAGGTGGATGAGTGTAGCCGCTGAGTTCAGGATAGACTGGAGTGGGGATAGCGTTTGTTTGGGTAGGCCAGTGAGAATTGAGTTGCAGTAGTCCAGACGTGAGATGATGAGGGAGTGTACGAGTTGTTTAGTAGTGTCTGGGGTGAGGAACGTACGTATCTTGGAGATGTTGCAGAGGTGGAGCCTGCATGACTTTGATAGTGATTGACATGAGGTTGGAAGGAAAGGTTTGATTCCAGGGTGCCACCCAGGACTTTGGCGTGTGGGGTGGGATTGATGGTGGCGTTGCTAGTCGTGATGGAGAGGATGGGGGCACGGGCTAGGGGGAAAACTAGGAGCTCGGTTTTGGACAGTTTTAACTTGAGGAAATGGAGCGACATCCAGTCTGATATGTCGTTCAGGAGGTGGGCGATGCGGGCGGAGAGAGAGTGGGTGAGAGGTAAATTTGTGTGTCGTCGGCATAGAGCTGATAGTTGAAGCCGTGGGAGTGTATCAGTATACAAGGGAGGAGGTGTAGATGGAGAAGAGGAGGGGTCCGAGGACAGAGCCTTGGGGGACTCCAACAGAGAGGGGTAGGTGGCAGCGTTATAGGTAACGCTGAAGGAGCGTTGGGATAGGTAGGAGAGCCAGGAGAGAGCAGCGTCCCTGATGCCAAAGGAGTGCAGTTTAGTAAGGAGGAGGGGGTGATCGACGGTGTCGAAGGCTGCGGAGAGGTCGGGGAGCAGGAGGACTGAGTAGTGGCCATTAGCTTTGGCGGTTAGCAGGTCGTTAGTGATTTTAAGTAGGGCGGTTTTGGTGGAGTGTAGGGGACGGAAGCCAGACTGTAGTGGATCAAGGAGGTTGTTATCAGTGAGGTGGGCGCTTAGGCGATTGTAGGCTAAGCGCTCAAGGAGCTTGGAAGCGAGTGGCAGCAGGGAGATGGGTCTAAGGTTGTTTAGGTCAGTGAGGTCAAGGGAGGGTTCTTTGAGTATGGGGGTGATGTGTGCGTGCTTTAGGGGGGGGGAGGGGAATGCGCCAGTAGAGAGGGAGAGATTGAAGATGTGGGTGAGGGAGAGAATGATGGAGGAGGGGGGTGACTGGAGGAGTTGTGAGGGAATAGGGTCCAGGGGGCAAGTGGTGAGGCGGGCTACAGTGAAGACCTTAGTGACCTCCTCAGTGGTAGCAGGGCTGAAGGAGCGGAGTGTTGGGGAGGTTATAGTGTGCGAGGCGTTAGGTATGGTGGGGGGTAGTGCAGTTGCGAGGTCAGAGGAGGGAGAGTTGAGGGGGTGATGGAGGGAGGGAGGCTAGGTGGAGAGGTAGATTGCGAATTGACAATGTCCTTACGGCTTGCGTCAGTCTTGTTTTGGAAATGGTTGGCAATCTCGTGGGCGGTGAGTGAGGTACTGAGCGGAGGTGGGGGGGGAGAGAGCAGGGATTTGAAAGTGGAGAAGAGCCGGCGAGGACAGGTGGAGAGGGTGTAGATGAGGGTTACGAAATATGCTTGCTTGGTGGCGTGGAGGGAGGTGGTGTAGTTGAGGAAGGCGGATTTGTAGAGGGAGAACACTCGAGGGGATCTGGTTTTGCGCCATAATCGCTCCAGCGCGCGACTGCGTCGTTTGAGTAATTTTGTATGTTCGTTCTGCCAGGGTTGACGCAGTCGGGGTCTGATGTTACGTGTGGTTAGGGGTGCCAGGGAGTCTAGGGCAGCTGACAGTGAGTCGTTGTACGCAGTAGTGGCCAGGTCAGGGCATGTCAGTGGAAGGATACTGTCGTACAGACGGTCAGCTGCCGAGTGGAGATGGGCCGGGTTCAGGTTGCGGAGGTTACGGCTGGTGATGGTTTGACGCTTTGGGGGGGGGGAGGGGGGGTTAGGGGAGGGGGAGATGGAAAAACGTGAGGAGGTGGCGGTCAGAGAGGGGGAAGGGTGTGTTAGTGAAGTTGTGGAGGGTGCAGGGGTGGGAGAAAATGAGGTCCAGGGTGTTCTCATCGGTGTGGGTAGAGGACTGTGTGCACTGTGTGAGCGCGAAAAGAGGACGTTAGGAGGAGGAGTTGGGAAGTAGCCGGGTTGTTAAAGTTGATGGGGATATTGCAATCCCCGAGGATGATGGTCGGTAGCTCAGAGGAGAGGAAGAAGGGAAGCCAGGCGGCAAAGTCGTCCAGGAAGAGGGATACGGATCCAGAAGGCCAATAGATTACTGCAATCCTCAGGGGGGTGGGAGAGAAGAGCCGGATCCAGTGGGCCTCGAAGGAGGAGAAGGATAGGGGGGGGGGGGGTTAGGGAGGACCTGGAAGGTGCTCAGCGGAGACAGGAGCATGCCGACCCCACTGCCTCTGCGACCACTCGGTCTGGGTGAGTGGGTCCAGACGAGGCCTCCATAGGCGAGTGCTGCAGGGGAGGTGGAGTCAGTGGCTTGGATCCAGGTTTCGGTGACCGCTAGGAGGTTGAGGGAGTGGGAGACAAAGAGGTCACGGATCGCGGCGAGCTTGTTGCAAACCGAACGGGCGTTCAGGAGTGCAACCGAGAGAGGAGGGGTGGATGCGGGAGGAGGGGGACGGGTATGAGGTTGAGGGGATTGTGGCGGCGGGAGCAGGAGGGTGCCTAGAGGGGGAGTGGGGGGGTCAGGGTTCGGGGAGATGTCACCGGCGGTTAGGAGAAGGGTGAGGAAGGTGGCATGGGAACGGGATGTGCAGGAGCGTTTGGATCTGTTAGTGGTGGCGTGTGGGTCGGCGGGAGAGTGGAGTATTAGGAGGAGGTGGTGAGAGCCATAGTGGGGAGAAGGAAGAAGTGAAGGAGCAATGTTGAGCTGTTTTGGGGGAGTAGGGGGGTAGAGGGAGGCGATTTTGGGAATGGAGGAGAGGAATACGAGGAGGAGGAGTGCAGGTGGCATGTTAAGATGAGCAGAATGCTGGTCAGATTGGGGAGGTAAGAGGTTTCATATCAGGGCGTGATGATGCGGAGAGTCTGTCACGTCGTGGTGGAGTTCATGTGTGTCCATCTGAAGGAGGAGAGTGCGAGTGGTGGGCGGCTGGGTCAGCAGTTGGCTAGTTGCAGTCTGTGGGTGCTGTAGGCCAGCGTCTGTGGGTGCTGTGGCACGGCGTCGGTGGGTACAGTGGCTTGGTGACTGGACGAGCTGTAGGGCGCGGCGTCTGGGGAGCGGGGTGTCTCGGTCGGCCGCGGTCCTCCACGGATCGCGGCCCTCCGCGGCCGGC